TTATAAATAGCTTTTACTACTAATAATGCAAATGAAGGAAGGGAATTATTCACAATCTCAGAAGATGTTGGTATAGGAAATCAAGGCCTGAAGCTAAAGGAGGGAAAGTTGAGGTTAGGCATTTTCAGCTATAAGAGAAATGGACAGCTGAAAAATTGTCAAGGGAAGAAGTTGAGGCACTTCTTGTAGATATTTGAGAACAGATTAGCTAATCCAGTAGTGGCAATGATTTACAATAGCAAGGGCTGCTCAGTACTCATTTTAATCCTGGTTTCCGATTCTATGAAAAATTTCTAATTAAAATGTTGAGATTTATTTTACGTTAGTAGCTGCCTGTATTATAGGGAGATGCAGTAGGGATCCCTGTGCTCTGGTCTCTGGGCTGTGTACCGTGAAACCAGCTGATGAGAACACTTATCCTGAAGCTCCATTTCTAGTGAAGTAAAATGAAAGTTCAGGTTGCTGCAATGTGTTGGGGTGTCGATGATCCATTTGAATGCCTGCTCTTTTTAAAGTTCAACTCTACTGTCTTTTTCTAAAGGCAGTTTTTCAGATTACACTACACTGTTTACAATGGTGCCAAATTTGCAGTATTTACAGTTCAGGCTGAGACAAAACTTCGCAATTACTGCCGTAACCTCTAACTGGAAATGTAACAAAACTATTTTCTCTACCAGATGCTTCTCTGACCATGTTGTAAAGCTTTTTAAAATGTAGCTTGTTATTTGTAGACCTGGATTACACAAATAGTTTGAGGAAGGTCATGAGAAAAGAGGGACAAAGATGTTTTTTGGAAGAGAGATTTTCCCCCAGATATTTTTGTGAAAGGCATGGTACAAAACCTTTCACCTCATGTGAAGCAAGGGGTCAAAATGGATCAGAAAAAGGGGGCCAAGCTTGACATACCAAAACCAGGCCATCTTTGCTATGATGTCTTGCATCATTCATTTTTACTATGAAGTTTTGCAAGTGGTATTATGTATGCATAATATATAGAAACCATCTAGATTAATCTCTCTTGCATAGATGACGAGAAAAATATGTGGTAGCAAGTGGCATGAATAAGTAATATAAAATAACTTTTATCAATGGCTTGTCATATATTTTGATCTTTTGAAAGAAAAAAATGCATATATATGTGTGTGTGTGTGCGCGCGCATAGATACATAATCAGAATAAGCCCACACACACACATAGTTAATAAAATAGCAGAATTTAGTGAGATAAGAAAACTCAGTACAACTTTCGGTAACAGTATCTCAAAATAAGTGAAATCAAAATCCAAATGTAATTTCAAAACTTATAGTTTCATAGTTTCATAGTTTCTAGGGTCGGAAG